CTTGGAGGATCATCTCCTTAAGGAACAACCATTCTTCCTGGACTCCCAACTCCCCTGCCCTCCAGGACTTCAGTGCCTCCCGAACTAGTCTCCTTACCTCATTGAAATCTGCCGTCCTGAAGTCCAGGGCTGCTGCCTTTGCTGCAGGCTTTTGACACCCTGTGCTGGATGGTGAATTCCAGTAGGCAATGATTGCTGTTGCCCAGTGTTCGAGAACCTGCAGTCCACTCACCAGGTCGTTGCCCATGGCCAGGACCAGGTCCAACAAGGCATTTCCCCTGGTGGGACTGTGCACCTTCTGGGTTAGATGGAGGTCCTGTAACTCAGCTAGGAACCTATGTGAGTGGTCAGACCTGACTGCTCTTCCCAGCAGATGTCTGGATAGTTTAGGTCACCCATGATGACCACGTCCCTTGACTTAACTGCCTCCACAATCTGACCTGAGAATTCCTGGTCCAGCTCTTCCCCCTGGTTGGGGGGCCTGTAGTAAACCCCTACCTTTAAATCCCTTTCCCCCTGACCCCCTTGTATACGGACCCAGAGCACTTAAGTATGCCCCTCCTCTGACCCAGGGCTGTTAGTGTGTGGGAGTGTGAAGAATATTTACCTTGATTATTCAATGAAGATTCTTATTCAAATGGTATAATTATAGTAATGATCTCTGTGTGAGGTCTTTATTTTAATAAATTAATTCCTTTTTAAGTGGCAAATTTAGTGCAACCCTAACTATACAGCACAAGGGTAATTGTAAATGATAACTTTTGCTGATAACTTCTTACCATTATGTTTAGCTTCGTGTTGTGTTTTTTTAATTTCTGTAGAAGATGATTTAACATTAATATTTTTAATACACATTCACTTTTGAACATTACAGGCAAATATTACATAGCAACTATGACAATGATCACTGCCTCCACTGCACTGACAATCATCATAATGAATATTCATCACTGTGGATCAGAAGCAAAACCTGTTCCACAATGGGCCAGGGTGGTTATTTTGGACTATATGTCAAAAATTTTTTTTGTTTATGATGTGGGTGAGAATTGCATAAGTCCACAAAGGGAGAAAGATCAAGAACATAAATTAAGAAAGGATAAGTATCAGAAAAGACAAGACAGATATGAAGAGGTAAGGAATCAACTTTCCAGGAACAGAAACAATGACAGTGACCTCAAGAAGCAGCTGAATGGACCTATAAATAAAAGCTATGGAATTCAGTGTGAAAATGCAAAGGATGGTGTCAACTGCTGTTCTTGCTATAAAATACTGATAAAAAATATTGAATATATTGCTAATTGTGTTAGAGACCACAAAGCAAACCGTGCTAAAGGGATCGAGTGGAAAAAAGTAGCAAAAGTGATGGACAGATTCTTCATGTGGATTTTTTTTATTATGGTATTTTTTATGAGCATGCTGATCATTGGTAAAGCAGTTTAAAGATGTTTAAATTTAAAAAACTTTAAAGCAGTTTAAAGATGTTTGAGTACATTTAATTTTATGTATGAATGAATGTTTAGCTAATTTACCTTAATGGTACTCTGCCACTCAGAGATGTATTTCACTTTTTGTAGCTCTAATTCTGTAAAAACAAGCAGAATCATTTGAGAGAGCAGTAAGACAGGCATCTGGTTAGAATGACTTCATCAGGTGAGGCATCCATATTTTGCTCAGCTGAGGGCCATATTAAAAACTTGCTAGGGGTTGCAGACAATTTAAAGGAGGCAACTGTCTTGAACTTAGAAGTGCAACCTATGGGAGCTTGCTAAACAAGCGAAAAGTACAGTGAAAAGCCCAGGGTGGTCCTGGTCTTGTTTGGAAGCTTTAGGGCTTGTGTATACAACCAATGTGGTGAGTCTGTGAGTGCTGTTATCCCACCTGCCTGGTCCTGCTCAGCATGAGCCAAAACCCAGATAGTAGGCGGAGTATAAAGTTTAGCAGAGCCCTGACCTGTACCCCAGCATTGTCCTCAAGCTCTTTGTCTGCTTCTTGGCATGCCACCAGGACTATGCTAACCCAGGTACACTGCCTGTTTTTCGTGCTTTTATATACACACACTGGGAGCATGTGGGCTGGCTGTACTCTTATGCTCAGGGTGGAGGCAGCATAGTCATGGCCTTAGACACTTGCAATACTATTACTGTTACAGTTGGGAACTGTGACTGCTGCTTCGCCTCTGTCACTTCTTCTTAGAATCATAGAATCATAGAAAATTAGTATTGGAAGGGACCTCAGGAGGTCATCTAGTCCTGGCTCAAAGCAGGACCATGCCCAACTATATCATCCCAGCCGAGGTTTTGTCTAGCCGGGTCTTAAAAACCTCCAAGGATGGGGATTGCATGACCTATTTGGGTAGCCTGTTCCAATGCTTTACTACCCTTCAAGTAAGAGCTTTTTCCTAATATGTAGCCTGAACACCCTCTGCTACAACTTGTGACCATTGCCCCTTGTTCTGTCAGCTGCCACCACTGAGAACAGTCTAGCTCCATCCTCTTTGGAACCACCGTTGAGGTAGTTGAAGGTTGTTATTAAATCCCTCTCAGTCTTCTCTTCTGCAAACTAAATACACCCAGTTCCCTCAGCCTTGCCTCAGAAGTCACATGCCCTGGCCCTCTAATAATTTTTGTTGCCCTCTGATGGACTGTCTCCAAATTGTCTATATCCTTTCTGCAATGGGGAGCTCAAAACTGTACGCAATACTCCAGGTGTGGCCTAACCAGTGCTGAATAGAGGGGAATAATTACTTTCCTTGAGCTGGTACCAACACACCTACCAATGCAGCCCAGTATGCTGTTAGCCTTCTTCGCAACAGGGGCACACTGTTGGCTCATATTCAGTTTATTGTCCACTCCAACCTCCAGGTCCTTTTCTGCAGAGCTGCTACTTAGCCAGTTGGTTCCCAGCCTGTACCAATGCATGGTATTTTTTTTTCACAAGTGCAGCACCTTGTACTTGTGCTTATTGAACTTCATGAAATTGTTTTGATCCAATCCTCTAGTTTGTCTAGGTCACTTTGAATCCTAGTCCTATCCTCCAGTGTATCTCCTACTCTCTCCAGCTTGGCATCATCCAGAAACTTGCTGAGGGTGCACTCCATCCCATCTTCCAGATTGTTCATGAAGATTGAACAACATTCGCCCCAGGACTGACCCCTGGGGCACTCCACTTGAGACTGGCTGCTAACTAGAGATCAAGTCATTGATTACTACCCTTTGAGCCCAACCATCCAGCCAGTTTTCTATCCAACCCAAACTTCCTTAGCTTCCTTGCGAGAATGTTGTGGGAGACCATATCAAAAGCCTTGCTAAAGTCAAGTTACATCACATCCAGTGCTGTCCCAGTATGCGCAGAGCTAGTCATCTTGTCATAGAACACAATCAGGCTGGCCAGGCATTCCTCTGGTGCATTGCGTCTGGACCCATGGAATATAGACATCCAGCTTTTTTAAATAACCCCTAACTTGTTCTTTAGCTATTGTCAGCTGCTCACCTTCTCTTCCAACTGTGCTGCCAGGTACAATAGTCTGGAAGCTGACCTTACCTGTAAGGACTGAAGTGAAAAAGGCATTGAGTACTACTTCAGTCTTTTTCCGCACCAGAACTTCACCCCAATTGTGTATTTTGTCTACTTGCATCCTGCCTTAGTTGTAAGCTCCCTGGGACAGTGCATTCAGTGCTGTTAATGCAAAAGATATACCACCATTGGTATAATCCTTGATTGACTATCTTTTAGGCCTGTGCAAAGTGGCTAATATTCACTTTGGATTCGGATTCGGCCAATTCGGGGGACAGTGATTCGATTTGGTGATTTGGTCCTTGGGCCTGCACTGTTCAATATCTTCATCAGTGATTTGGATGAGCGGGTGCAAAGCACCCTGTTCAAGTTTGCTGATGACACTAAGATGTGGGGGGATGTGGGCACAATAGAGGGGAGCAACAGGCTACAGTTGGACCTA